AATTATTGGGATTGAGATTTTATAGAAGGAGTAGCACTTTTTGATCCCCAAAAGTACGCCACCATATGAATCATCTCGGTCCAGGCGGATAATGTTAAAATCGTGGAAGTTTAGTTCATCTTCAGAAGAAAGCCAAGTTTCACAGAGTGCAAATATATCACAATCAGAATTGTGAATCAAATACTTGAACGAGTCTAATTTAGGTATTAAACTACGACAGTTCCATTGTAATAAAGTGATCATATCTTGATCCTCACTCGACGAATTATCCATCGAAAGATATGAATTCACCAATGAGGGGCCATGATGCAGTCAATTGCTTGAAGTAGTTTCCGACTATAGGAACAAGCAGGTCAATAAGCCCTCGAAGTGGCGATTCATCGAGAAACCCGAGGGCATTCAAAATGTTATCCACAATGTCCTTAAATTTAATCTTTCCTCGCTTGGACGGGAGAGTTTTCGTTGAATTGCGAGTAGACGTGGTGTTTATTTTTGGTAATCTCTTACGATTACCTTTATTAGGTAGCGGCGGGTAGGAAAAGCTGCAGCAAGGATCAGATGGAGCAGCAATTACCGATTTGTTCGGCTTTTTCAATGTATCCCCGCTACCTTCAGATTGTTGCATGCTTTTGAGAGTGGTTTTATTTTTTTCCGGCGCACTCCCCGGGAGCTAGTCGGCTTCCTTTTACCGGGGGCGTGTACCTCCGGAGACTCACTGTCATCTGCTATGTCAGAGTCCAGTTCATCGGAAGACAAAATCTCAAAAGTGTTTTCATTTTGAGCGGCTGATGCCAACGAAGCAGAGGTTCCATTTGGCAACTTAACCATTTCTGCAAGCGTTAGCTTGGAGCGTTCTTTTATTGAACGCTTCACATTGTTGGTACGCTTCTTGTACGTGGGGCAGTCCTGCAAAGCATGAAGAGGTTCTTTGCCACAGTAAGCATATTTAGTGGTTTCCTGTTGGCAAGCACCCTCCATGTGGTCTTGGCTATATTTGCCACAACGGGGCTTGTTGTCACAAAAAGCAGCTGTGTGTCCCAACTTTTTGCAGTTGGTACAATAATATACCCTTGGTACAAAAAGTCGCACCGGGAAAAAACATTTTCAATTTCTAAAAACTTTGGGAGAACCGATCCAGCGAAAGACACCTGTAGTGAGCCTGAAGGGGAATAAGTCTTTTGACCATCTACCGTGGTCACTGAATACAATATCCTGCAACCCAGAACGTCCACGGTAGATGTAGCAGCATTTTGAAGGCGCCCCATACCTTCCATGACGTCATCACACGTAAGGCTCACTGCAGAGACCACGCCGTCTATCTCCACATCTCGAGATGGGATGTAGACGTAATACTCTTCATTATAACCCTCGTCGTCAGCAATATCATTTGCGATATTATATGTAGGCGCAGTTATACGCAGTTTGTTCCGATTGACCGGTCCCCGGGAAACGACGCGTCAACGTTCTTTTAATCCCTAAGAAGTTTAGGGCTTTCTCTTTCTGCCGAAAGTAGACAACCCAAGGCGAAGCAGAAGACACCTGGTAATGACGCTTTCTAACTTTATCATTGGGAGGCTTGACGCCCCCCTGTACGTCATCCATACGAAATTTAAAACTTTCGTTAGGAAGTAATTATTTTTTTTTACTTTTTTTGATTTACGAACCACCCTATGTGGAACGATTCCACTGGGGGGAGAGACAGACGATTCACAAGCAAACAGTCAGAGGAATGGGTATACAAAAAAACAGATACGTGCTACTATTTGCCCTTACCGTTTCTACCGCTTATACTGTTGCTGCTCTACCACAATAGATGCCGGTCGTACACACCGTCCGTGCGGTGGCTCACAGCTATCTGCTGGTTATTGTTTCCAGTTGTACACACCGTCCGTGTGTTTTGCCGTATGCCGAATTTCGATATCGTCGAAGCGGGTTTTAAAGGTGGACAGTCCGACCGTAGGCTTCGCCAGGATCGGCTGCTTCCTCCAGAATACGCGAGTCACCTGAGGCACAAAAACTTTTTCCGGAAAATAACGTTTCGCGGTGAAAAAAACACTTTCAAAGCTATGCCTGGTGACGAGACAACAGACCCTGATGTTGCTCATTCGCTAGCAGAACGAGGAATGAATATATTAAATGTTTGTAGGTATCCTCTTATAAACAGGAAATTCAAACTTTGCCTGACGAATTAAATTCTAATATTTAACTCTTCGGGCACCACACTGAAAATGGAGTCGACATTTTTTTCAAAATGATGTATCTCAGTCGCTATTTATCCGTTTTCAAATGTTTTAATACCGTTGGATAGGTCACATCCTTATCTTTTCATTAGCTTGTTATCCACGCTCCCTGATTGAGTCATAGCTTCATAAAATCAGGATTACCAAATTATAACAAAATTTTCGGAAGGTCATTATTAATTCTGTAGGGCAATTAAAAATGTGTGCATGGTGCATTCTATTAGATACTTTTATAGGCTTTCAGGAAAAAATATAAAAGGACAAACCGATCAACTTCAACTTGCTGAAACGACATGTCTACCGACTCGACAAAAACTGAAAAACCAAAAGATTGATTAACTATCAAACTCGTCATTGTGTGCTATGCTCAAGCAAACCATCAAAAAGGAAAATTAATACCCTTTCCAACAAGGTATCAACATCAAAAATATATGAAAATTTACCGAAGATATTACAAAAATAGTGAAAAGTGTGATTTAGGTGTGGTAGTCGAAGAGTTAAACAAGTTTTTAGACCGGCCATGCTTTACGCTGTGCCAATATGGTCTAGTTGTTGCACTACCAGGAGAAAAAAAACACTTCGAAGGATTCCGAACAAAGTTCTGAAGATGATTTTGAAGTTGCCTCCCTTGTACAGTACTACCGAAGTACATTGAATTTCGAATGTTGAGACTTTAGAACAAATGTCCAACAAAATAATTAATAATTTCAGGCAAAAATCGTTGCAATCCTCAATTGCAATGATTAATACCCTTTTACATAGATAAGATTAAGTTTTAGTTTTTAGTTTTAAGATTTCAATTGTTATACTGACATGCAGGTTTAAAAAAACCTGTTTAAAATACTGAATTGCCAAGGCAGGAACAATGTAAAAACACTTAGATATATATCACAACAATTAATGCTGGTAAGTTTCTGTAGTAACTGGAGCACCTAGGTTAAAATGAAATGTAATTTATTTTGAATTTGGAACAAATAAAGAGCTAAAAAAAAAGTTAACTCAAATTGCTTTAACCGCATGTATCAGAGATTTCGCGTATTGTGAGAATAATATAGTAATCGAGTACAATAAACTCAGGGGAAAACAATACCTACAAAAGATTAAAAGTTATTAATTTTCACATACCTCTACTTTTACTTATTTTCTAAACTATTCCTCTCCTTGTTAATCTTTTTAATGCTATTGGTCTGCTTGCGTTTTCTTATTGAAGTTCAAGAATAAATTGGAAGATTTATTCTACAACTTTAAAGGTTAGTTGCCTCCCTAAGCGTACCTCCCGCATCGTAATTCTTTTGTTAATCTACTTAATGTTATTAGACTTTCTGATGTTTCTTATTTAAGTTCATTTGATGATTATGATATCTCATTAGTCTAATTTAATAAATAATTGAAATCACTAATTCACCTAATCAATCATAACCCATGCTTTATTAAGTACCTGCACTTGTGCTTGTAATCTAAAATTAACCGTGTTTCAAGTACTTTTGACTTTGACCTATATTTATTATATCTTAGTTCGACCCAGGTGACACCTTCAATTAGTCACTTTGAAGTTAGTTTCCTAGCTGATTTTTAAATTATATCGGGTATATGCTCCAATTACGCTCACACGTTTCCACGATGTCGCACCACAAAAATGCGTATGGCTATGTCACAATAGAAGCACGCCACAGTGGAAATCCCGAGCTATAGGTACAATACCATGTACAAAAATGATGTTTAACATTGTTCCCTGAGTAATAATTCAATGAAAACAACAATGAAAGCTTGTCACACAAATAGAAAGAGCACCGTCGGGCACTTTCTGAAATATTTCAATAGCATAATTCCTTTGCAAACCCAAATAAATCTACCTGCGTAAAAATAAATAAAATAAGAGTGATTTGCGGAAAAAACCCGCCAGTATCGCACCCAACGTCAGTGCCTATACGTAAGCGTACTACGACGCGGCTTTCAAACAAAGGAGTAACAAGTGGGATACTATCACTGCTGGGCTAGATCTTTGGTTTTCTCATGCAGTGGTTCATCAGAGGGGGGAAGCTTAGTAATCCTTATCGCCTGCCCATGGCGCCATTCTATCGCGGCATGATCCAGCAACGCCGGCCATAAACCTACCGTCTCCAACACTCCACTATAAAGAATGAAATTAAGCCCGCCCACCAACAGCAAGGTGCGGTCATGTGGCGCAGATAGAAAACGGGACAAAGTGACCTCGGCTTGGCGTTTAACGATGAAGCGAACCTTCAACTGACGGAGTAAGGTATCACCAAATTGTTTTGTTATTTGTTTAGTGGTTCATCAGAGGGGGGAAGCTTAGTAATCCTTATCACCTGCCCATGGCGCCATTCTATCGCGGCATGATCCAGCAACGCCGGCCATAAACCTACCGTCTCCAACACTCCACTATAAAGAATGAAATTAAGCCCGCCCACCAACAGCAAGGTGCGAAAACTAGCCAAGGGGAGGTGGGTTTATTGAATTTGAATGTTTTTTTTTGCGCACCGCGTGTTGTTGAAAAGAATAAAATCCGAATAGCATTCAGTATTACTGTTCAAAACTTCATACCTTTTTCTTGATATATGCTGAAAAATTATAGTGACCTAGTGAGCACCATAGCTCGAGTCGTCTGTCTGTATTGTGTATTATATGGAGAATCCAACCGAGATAATAGCCTATTATCTGCAGATGGTAAACCCTAAAAAAAAGAAAGAAACATTAGCAATTATCATTATTTAATATGTTGCACTTTATTTTTTTCAGAAACATTTTGCCGATTTATTTGCTTTGGCAGCGGAAGATGAAACTGCTGGAACGGTTGGACGTAGAAGCACCAGTAGCCGCGGACGTAAACCTCCGGCTAGTAAAAAGGAGTCAGCAGCGTCCAATAGTAATACAAAAAAAAATATGGATAACACCTATGTCAGCGACGATTCGACAGATGTACGTACAAACAATATTTGAACATAAAGACTGATTGTCAATTCAATTTAGTCTCTTTATTTAATTTCATTCGTAAGTTTCGAATTATCGAGTTAAATTTCATTAAAGTGATTCCTTGTAGAGTCCACTAATGGCCGCCACGTAAGCTATACATGTACTGGGGAATTAATGCACTATTTCACCTGAAATTGCTCCTCCATGTATGCTGCAGTACAGCAAACGTGAAGCAACAGTTTCATTGTGGTACGTGTTGGGGAAGCTGATATCTGTGCACTTAAAGTTTCGAAGTGATTACGAAAATAAGGATCTGACAGCGAAACACCTCTAACACAGTTGTTTTTTTTTTAGCGGCGCCGGTGGTGTAGTGGTAAGCGTGATTACCTATCACCCCAGCAGGCCTGGGATCAATCTCAGTCGGTGCCGCCGGGATGTTCTGAGGCATAACATCTCTGATCACGCTGCTCTGCCCATGATTGCAGTTGACGGAAAAGTCAAAATGACCAAAATGCACTTTCTATTTGCTACGCATTCTTTATTATATAATGCATACACTCTACTGTATAATTTTTTGATATGGTATATGAGTTAGATGTATAGAGTTACCAATCACTGTAACAAGGCAACTGTCGGTAGACTGTGCAGTGGAGTATCCTCGCTGTCCCACTTGATCAAGTTTAATAGCCTTTAATTGTATTAAACCTGCCATTGTGTGTGTGTGTGTGTGTGTGTGTGTGTGTGTGTGTGTGTGTGTGTGTGTGTGTGTGTGTGTGTGTGTGTGTGTGTGTGTGTGTGTGTGTGTGTGTGTGAGTGTGTGTGTGTGTGTGTGTATGTGTGTGTGCGTGTGTTTTTTTTTTTTTTTTTTTTTTTTTTTTTTTTTTTTTTTTTTTATAGTAAGGTTTAGGAAAGCTTCAAGAAGCCTGGCCTGTAGTGAAGGTGGCACGGTGTGGTATCCACTAATTGCCTAGTGCAGCTCCACTAAAACCCATTCCTTACTCTCTCCTCTGCCTGGATCCCCCCGGGACCACTGTGAAGCGACTACTTCGGGGGGTGGCTGTGCTCATGCACTTGTCGTACTCTCAGCGCTAGCTGGCGTTGCTAGATCGCTGCTCTTCTCTCCATTTACGCTGCAGCTCTGACATAATCTGTGTGACTGCCCTGCTGACGGCATTCCAAGAGTCCTCCTCTCGACACATTTCATCAACGACATTCTCCACGTTAAGGACGGGCATCTCCGTTCGCACTGCCTCGAACCTTGGACAGTCAAAGACCACATGCTCCGGCGTTTCATCGACGTTGCCACACTCCGGACAGAGGGGTGACGCTGCGTGTCCGAACCGATGCAGGTATTTCCTGAAGCAGCCGTGGCCAGACAGGAACTGCGTTAGGTGGAAATTGACTTCTCCGTGTTTTCTGTTCACCCAGGTCGAAAGAATCGGTATTAGTCTATGTGTCCATCTACCGTTCTCCGTCGTGTTCCACTCCTGTTGCCACTTAGCCAATGACTCCACTCTCACAACTTTCCGTACTCTTCCGGCTTCTCTCTGCCTGTAGCACTCGCTGTCCTCCGCCAGGGTGATGCCGATAGGGATCATACCGGCGATAACGCATACTGCTTCCGACGAGATGGTTCTGTACGCACTCATGACTCGCATGGCCATGAGCCGGAACGTACTGCTCAGTTTCCTTTGGTTCTGCTTCGTTTCCAGCGCTGGAACCCAGGCTGGACCTCCATATCTCAGTATCGATGATGACACGCTGGCCAGAAGACGCCTCTTGCTATTGCTGGGACCAGCGTTGTTCGGCATGATTCTAGCTATCGCGTTGATGGCCTTCGAAGCCTTCTCACAGGCATATTCGACGTGGCTGTTGAAGTTTAGCCGGTCATCGATCATCACACCCAGGTATTTTAACACACGCTTCGAGGCTATGGTGTGCTCCCCGACGGTGATTTCTGCCCGCTGTACCGCTTTACAGTTACTGACCAATAACACTTCCGTTTTGTGGTGGGCTATTTGCAGCTTCGCTCCTTTCATCCAGTTACCAATCATGTCGATTGCCTCGGTTGACAACACTTCCACCTCTTCCAGCGTCTCGCCTGTTACCGTCAAGACGACGTCGTCCGCAAAGCCAACGATCTCAACTCCTTTGGGCAGTTTCAGCGTTAGCACGCCGTTGTACATCCCGTTCCAGAGCGTTGGACCAAGGATGGAGCCTTGTGGAACTCCCGCTGTGATCCTAATCGATCTCTGTCCCATGTCTGTCTCGTAGACCAGAACCCGGTTCTGGAAATAACTCCTCAGGATCCTGCACAGGTAGTCAGGGACCCTCATTCTATGCAGTGCTTCGGTGATGGCCTCCCAGCTGGCGCTGTTGAACGCATTCTTGACGTCGATTGTTATCACGGCGCAATATCGATCTCCTCTCCGCTTCTGTTTGGACGCCTTTTCAGCTCTCTCGACCACTGTCCGAATTGCATCCACCGTAGATCTCCCTTTCCGGAATCCGAACTGCCTCTCCGACAATCCGTGCTCACTCTCCGTGTATTTCGTCAGCCTGTTTAGGATGATCCTCTCCAAGAGTTTTCCGAGTGTATCCAGCAGGCATATAGGCCTGTATGATGCTGGATCCCCCGGCGGTTTTCCTGGTTTCGGCAGCAACACTAGCTTCTGTATCTTCCACCTGTCAGGGAAGTGACCCTCGTTCAGGCATTTCTGCAGCACCATCCTGAACATGTCCGGGGATGACTGGATCGCCGCTTTCAACGCTACGTTGGGGATTCCATCCGGACCGGGAGCTTTCTTCACCTTCAATCCTTTCGCCACTACTACGAGCTCCTCGTTGGTGATTTCGACGTTATCTCCCTCTCCTTCTCCGTACGGTGTAGGTGGCCAGGTTGTTGGGTCGTGCTTCGGGAAAAGTCCTTCCACGATGACTTTCAGCTTCTCTGGGCACATTTCAGTGGGCATCGTTGGACCTCTGATCTTCGCCATCACGACTCGGTATGCGTCACCCCAGGGGTTGGCATCAGCGTCTCGACACAGCTCCTTAAAACAGTTCGACTTGCTCTGCTTAATCACTCGTTTAAAAGCGGCCCTGGCCGCTCGAAACACTTCTCTTCGTTCCTCTCTGTCTGCTTCCGTTCTTGCTCTCTGAACACGTCTTCTGGCTCTGAGACAACTAGCGCGGAGAGTACTAAGTGCCTCGTTCCACCAGTAGACTGGACGCCGTCTGTTATTTGGCTCCAGTTTCCTCGGCATGGTCGTGTCACATGCTCTCACTAACGTTTCTGTCAGCTCGTCCGCATTTAGATCTACGGGACTCCCGTCCGCACGAAGTGCCTCAACGAACAAATCCTTGTCGAAAGCTTTCGTCTTCCACTTTCGGTCACAAGTTCTCGTCCTCCGTACTGCCACAGTATTCCGTTGACCGATGCCATATCGTATCGCCTGATGGTCGCTATGGGTATATCCTTCGCACACTCTCCAATCCATGTTTGCCATCAGCGACGGACTGCAGAAAGTAACGTCGATAATGGATTCTCGGCCATCTCTGCGAAAAGTGCTGCTGGTGCCTTTATTGGCCAGCATAACTTCCAGTTTTGCCAGAGCTTCCAGCAGACTGTGCCCTCTTGCATTGGAACACCTGCTTTCCCACTCCACTGCCCAAGCATTGAAGTCTCCTCCGATGACTACCGGTCGTCGTCCGACCAGCTCTTCGGTAAGTCCATCAAGCATCTCGTGGAACTTCTCCATCGTCCATCTGGGGGGTGCGTAACAACTACACATGATGATTCCGTTGATTTTGGCGATGACGAAGCCTTCGTATGAGCTCGCAACCACTTCTTGAATGGGATATCTGCCCATAACTTGTATAGCTGCCATCCCAGCTCTATCCGCAACCCAGTTACCGTTATCGGGAGGGACTCGATACGGTTCCGCAATGATTGCAACGTCGCACTTTGTTTCTGTTGTCGACTGCCACAACAGTTGCTGAGCAATGTCGCAATGATTGAGGTTTATTTGGGTTACCTCCATTACTGTTGGCCTGCCATCGCCTTTTTGTATGCTAGGCATTTGAAGCCTCCCGTCGTATGATCGTTACCGTCCTCTTTTTTGCAGAGCATACACCTCGGATGCTTCGTGCAGCCTCTTGCAATATGGCCTTTCTCTCCGCATTTCCTGCACAGATCAGATCTGTCAGGGCCATTGCAGTTCCTCGCCTGGTGACCGAATCCCATGCACTTGAAGCATCGCTCCAATTGCTTGGTAACCCGAGGAGTGGCTTTCAGCGAGCACAATGACCAGCCAACCTTGACCTTGCCCGTCTCCAACAGCTTATTCGCTGCAGCTGCCGAAAGCCGTATAACCGCCGTTTGCATGCCGCCGTACGCCTTCCTCATGCGGATTGACATCGGGACATCTCCCAGATCGCAGTGCACTCTCAACGCACTTCTTAGCTCCTCTTCTGTGGTGATCTCGTCCAGGTCCCTGCACTCGACCACTGTCTCCTGTGATAGAGCTCTTACGCTCGCCCCTTCGCCAAGAGACTTTTCAACGAGCTCCTTGTAGGCTGAGCTCTTGATAGCAGGATTCTTCTTCAGCTCAAAGAGGATCTCGCCTTTCTGGGTTCGCCTGGTTTTCACCACGTTCTCTCCTAGTTGCTTCAACTCCGGATCCTCTCGTACCTTCCGGAGGAGTGCTGCATACGACGTTTTGTCCTTAGCTTCGACGATCAGAGCATCGCCCTTACTTCGCTCCCGACGAGTCCTGGGTATCTCCTTCTTCTGTTCAGCTTTCTTCTTCACGTCTTTTTCCTTTCGTTTTTTCCACTTCTCCTTTGGCTTCTCGACGGTACGCCAGCCTTCCTCCTTGTTGTCTTCTTTGTCGTTCTTGACTTTTTTCAACTCCTCTTCCTCTCCTGGAGTTTCCCTTTTCCTCTTCTCCGAGCGTGGATTTCGAGGTCCCTTTGGCGTCTCCTGTATTTCAGCTGCTGCTTTCTCC